TTATTCTGATAAAATATCTAGTATAGTTTGAAAGAGATACACAGACGAACATAGTCCGTCCCATCAAAATACTTAAAACATGGCATTTTTCCATGCATGTTGGATACTTAAAATATTGCTATGATAGTCAAATAGTCAGTTAGTAAAATAATACTAGTAATAGTAAAATACGGTCTTTTTGTTGTCGGGGTGGAGAATCACTTTGGATCTCTGGCTGTTCGGGGACGCAGGAGCCAGGAGTGTATGTTGAATCCACTAAAATAACAGGACGGCCGTTCTCAGGAGCCCTACTACGAGGAGGACCCGGACCATGTTGTTTCAGGTCCCCTCCGGATCGATGCTGCGCCTGGCCTTGCTCATCGGCTAAAATATAGTCGATAGATGTAAATAAAAAATAACACTAATACGAGGATAGGCAACATACATATATATATTGTATTTAAATGTCTCAAACTTTGTAACTTGTGTGTTTGTATTATTTAATATAAACCTCTGTAGTCAGTAAAAAAAGAGGGAGAGGAATAATATAAATAAATTAATTTTTTATTCATTTAATTTTTTTTTTTTATCATCATATTAGTCGTACTTTATGAAAATTATTACTTCAGATTTCTAAGTGAATTGCCCGTTACGATAATTTTGTTTGATAACTAAGCACAGAATACCCATTTATTGTCTTTGAAAGCATTAAATCTTATGCCAACAGCGACACGTGCTGAGACTCTATACTCCAAAATTCACGTTAAACTTATATGAAGCTCGAACAACATTCAATACATACTAAGAAAACATTGAATTTCATATTTGTAGGTTTGCTCTCGTAAAGCGTTTACTTCCTCACATAACACGTACTACGACAGTCCTCTGACACAGTTAGAAGCTTATGGTACAAAATATAAGATACATTTTTCATTTTAATGTATACATAATTTTTGATTATTGGCGAAGTAATAAAACACGTCTTCGTCTGTGCTGTTCAACAGTTCGATTTATTGTGAAATATACTGAAGTATATTTCAAAGAACCCTTTATTAGTTTCATAACACTTAGCTGTTAATGGATTCCTAGATTTTTGTTACTATCCACAGTACATTACTCATCGGCAACTGTAAAGTAATTTGTTTGAAACACTCAAAACAAAAATTCTTCAAAAAGATCCAGAAGACTCAATGCTTAAAGCCAAATATCTCAATTATTGCCAGTTCAATAAATATATGTTATATTTTTAATATATTATGACATTCTGCTTTCATTGTTATTTGATGATATCAAATATTAGACGTTCAAAATTTGAAAATATTAATTTATACATTGAAATAAATAGCTCATTAATGTGTATTCCACTTGAAAATTACGTTTGGGGTCCTTAGAAACTTATCAACATTTCATAGCACTAATACCATTAATGCTATTCTTAGATAATTTGTTTTTAAATTTAGAATTATGTAGAAGATTAATTATACATCCATGAATTAAGAAAAATGAATAACAATAGGTTTTAGGGATTCTTCAATATATAAATTTGTATAAGTATAAACCCATCTAGAATCGCTATCACTTATCACTTGTGAACGATGACCTTTTTGTTCAATCGAGCTAGTTTTATACATTCCAACATCTGCGATCCACTTTTTATGTCAATGGGACTTATAAGCCTTTGGTCAAATAAAACTGAATTGTCCTGTATCAGTATTGCTCTTATGATGAAATTGTATAACGTTCAGATATATTCGTAGTTTGAAATAGCCTATTTTTTAAATTCTATAGTCGTGTAGTAAGAAATTATTTTAATGAGAATATGTGTTATTTTCTTTCGTGATCGTTATGAAACTTTCGATATACACTATAAAGGGTATGTAGAATAAAAAAAATAACGCATTATCAATTAACTTTTAAAAAGTATCACCGTCTTTAGTATGCCTACGTCAGTGTAATAAAGTGTATTCTTCATCAATTAATTTTCACCCTTAGCAGTTGATTTTTTTCTCTAAATTTGAATGAAACCATACGTTAGACGTTCTTAAAATTAAAGAAGAATTTTCCAAATCGAATTCGGAATTCTAAGGCAACAATAAAAAGATATCCAGGTGTAATTACAGCTTGCTATCTTTTGTGTGCAATTTCCCACTTTTTTAAGTTGGTTAAAAAAGGAACAGAAGAAATAATATTACCAGCATATATTGTAAGTAGATATAAACATAAATTCAGATGTTTCAATCCCTATTATGTTAACGCTGTCAATGTGGGCAACCCATTAGTAAATAATGAGTTCTGATAAGATAATTACCCATTCCTGTGTTGATAGATTGATTTCAACCGATACACATGAATAGGCAATCACTTCCTCTCTGTGTTATTACCTATAGAGTAGAAAATTGTTTCAACATAAACTGCACGGATGGCGTAGTGGTTTAAGCTGTTACCTCGCCGCTTCCTACTGCGTTGAGTGTTGTGAGTTCGACCCTACATTTGACAACACTTTGTGTGATCCACAAATTGTTGTTCTGAGTCTGCATGTTCTTTATGTCTGTTTCATGTATGATTATAAAGTCCCTCGCGACACAGGATATATTGCTAGTGCGGGAAATGTCTTTAAACAAGAAAAAGAAGAAATATTTCAATAGGTAAAGAGTTTCAAGAGACACATTTTTCACCTCTATTTCTCAATCCGTTTTCTCTTTTTAATTAATACAAACTTTTTAAAAGCTTTATTTAACTTGCAATGTAATATTTGTCGGGCCTGTTGGTCTAGTTTTTAGTGACCCTGACTACTACGCCAGAGGTCGTGGGTTCGATTCCCACCCAGGACAAATAATAGTTGTGCGATGAGCACGGTCATTTGTTATGTGTCTGTGTGTACTTCATTTATAATATGTATGTATTTAGAAATATTTAAGTATGTTTATCAGCAGTCTGATTACAGCGCAGTTTGGGATCAGACGGCCGTGTGTGAAATGTTTGAAAATATTATTATTGATTTATTATGTATGTATGTATGTATGCAACTATGTTTTTAAAAGCTTTTATTTAACTTGCATATATCTATCTGTGTATGTATGTATAAAACTATGTTTGTTCGGGTGGAATCTTGCAACTTAGTTTTGAAGCAGTTATTTTCAACCGATTGAACTGAAATGTTTTGTACAAGTTTAGTTTGGATGACAATGCATGGTTAGCTGTATGACCTGATTCTAAATACAAGATGACGGAACACCCAAGATGGCGGACCAGTTATTTTTAATGCACTCTTACAATATAGGTATCAAAAGAAAGCGCTTGCTCAGATTAACTCGAAAAATAAAGTGACGTCACTCTAAATGCAATATGATGGACTTTTAAAGATGGCGGATTAAGTTTTTTATGCTTTCCTACAATATAGGTATCTAATGAAAGGACCTGCTGAGAATACGAATGCGAGTTAATCAGTTGCTCGAATCCTGATGCGTTGAATAAGATAAACAGACTGAAAAACCTGTCCAGCGATAGCTAAAAAGTAAAAAATCTTTTAAAAACAAGCTTTAATTTAAATGTACTAAAAAGAATAAATATGATATAAAATTTTCAGACTAAGTAAATACGAGTACTTAAATCTTGCGACAAGCTTTTATATCACCTTAATTGTGTAAAGACGTTATAAGTTAAAGTAAAAGTTTTAAAGGAAAAGTTTATTTTATTCTTTTTTAGTACATTTAAATGTAAAATTCATTAATGTATGTAAGTTTAAATGTATTAAAAAGATTGTTTTTAAAACAGTTATTTACTTTTAATTTATAACTTGTGAAAAAAGCTCTTTATTCTTTTTTTTCGACACAGCATAATTGTTTTTAATAATTTACTTAATGCATTTCGGGGTTTTGAGTTTTAGGCGACCATTAGTTACTCAATATCTTTAGTTTAAACTTGTTTAAACTGGCAAATAAACAGATGGGTAACTCTATGGTAAGCGCACGTCGCCACCCATGAACACTTGCAACTCAGGAGTCACAAGCAATGGGAGTACGCTCTTTTCAAGAAGGTATAGAGATGGAAATAACACAGGCGTCAGTTTTTCGACAGATTAGTATTGCGAGACACAAGGTTTCTTAAAAAGCGCACAGTATTGATTTGATTAATGTTTTTCGTTCTTAAAAAAAATATTATTTAAATATATATATTTTTTTAAGTTTTCAAACTTATTTTATTTGTATTCGGCGGTATTAGAGATAGATATTTGCTCCAAATAATGCTCCTATAGTTTTATCGCTCACTACTTAAGTAAGCGATAAAACTACAGGCAAATAAACTAGAGTATGTTTATTGCATGGAATCAATACAGGGTTGATAAAATAGAGTTAACAGATAAATTATTTTAAACGAAATATTGCCCATGTTTATTTAAGGGAATTAGTTGCCAATATTTTGACACTGTTGCAAGTGCTATGAACATGAATGAACTGATATACGGATGAACAGATAGTAACGTATTTAATGTAAATGTCCATTGTAGTTTAAATCAGCGCAAAGTTAACAGATACGAACTGTGATTCCAAATTTCGGTCTCAATTAATAAAACTATAACGAGAATTTTACGCGATAATCGGAACCAAAAACTTGGACTGTATGCTTTTCGAATAATTCTATAATTTTCTTTACATATAATACAGGCAATCACACTGTTATCCGTTTATTATAGCGCCTTTAGCTATAAATGTAGTCTTGATATAACAAGAAACTGGAAGACCCTTTAAAAACGAGACAAATAATGTAGGACTACTAACTATTTTACTTATTTCTATACTTGAATTTGTAAACGGCACTTGAAACAAATGTTGGTAAATATTTGTTAAGTAATGTCATTTAAACACTGAAGTACGAGTACTTGATTATCAAATAGATTGACCCCTTAAAATATCAAGATTAGAAATTACATTTTAGTTAGAAGTTACGGCCTAGTCACACGCACATAGAATCAAGTCAAAAACTTACAAGCAAAACAAATTTACAGTGGTATTATATTTCAGTGCCAGAGACCAGCTTCCGGCTAATCCAGAACAAGACTGATGACGACACGGTCAACGTCATCTGTGCCGCGGACGGTGCCTTCCCAGCGCCGAACCTCACAATTGCAACACCAGAGAAGTACGTATACCTTTTTTACTTTAAGACATTGTTTCATAGCGCTATTTAGTTCCAAAAAACCCTGAGTATATGGCTTCTAAAACACGTAAAGTAAATATTTAGGTATTTCTTTGTGCATATTATTATGATAATATGTAAAACAAACACAAAAATACAAATAAAACATAATTTTGTTTAATTATTTTTCCCTTTCCTGAATTATTTATTTTATCTAATATAATAAATATATTGGCGCAATTAAACAGACTAGAGTAGATATATTATATTTATGTCAATGTAAGTAATTTGACCTATACTTAATGAATACGTAATAATACCGAGGGGAGATTAAGTTAATATAAGTATCAGATTATGTATTACGCAGCCGTATTAATATAATAATACGAGAAGAGAATGTTTTGTACGCGTTTTTAAGACAATTTCGTTGAAAGAGGAACCTGACGTGTGGAAAAAAGATATTCTTAGTCCCTAGGGTTTGACTGACAAATTTTAATCGCACATTAACTCTAGAGAAACTATAATAAAGAGATTTATATAAATAATAATATAATATATTTCTATTTTCACACATCTCACACACGGCCGTTTGGTCCCAAACTAGTCAGTGCCTGTACTGTACCAGACTGCTGATAAACATTCTTATATATTTCTAAATAAATACATATTATAGATAAATTACAGCCAGGCACAGATCAAATCATCGTGCTCATCACACAATTATTTGACCTGGTTGGAAATCGAACCCACGACCTCCGGCTTAGCAGTCACGGTCACTAACCACTAGTGCTTCAAAGAAGATATTTTTTACAATCACATGAAATTAAGTAGCGTATTATAATATTTTTTTAAAGACAACTCCGCATTAGGAATAAATCCTGTATCGCGGGGGACTTTACAAACATACATGAAACGGACACAAAGGATACCCAGACTCAGAACAACAATTTGTGTCTCACACAAAGTGTTGTCCCATGTGGGGATCAAACCCACAACACTCAGCGTTGTAGAAAATGACAAGGTAACCGCTTAAACCACTACGCCATCCGTGAAGTCTGTGTGTCATTTACTAAATTTATGTGGAGTCGGCGAAATGAGTTTTATTCTTCCTTCGTCATGGTCTTGTCATTTTCTTAGATAGCCGCTCGCATGCCTGTCACCAACCATCCCATGCCTAAGTATGTAAAACAGAATGTGTTAAAATTCTTGTAGACAGCTACATCTTGGTACATGCGTGCATTTTACGTTGAACTGTCATGGTATGTAAGTCTATGGAAATATATTATGACAAATCAAATTATTGTGGCAAATAAATAGAAGGTAAAGGTCTTCTAAATCATATTATATACAAATTTCTACCACCTGGCAAACCATCATTATTTTAATGTTTTATTTATATTTGAGCTATCGCTAATCGCTATTATACTCTATAATTCAAATCAATAATATTAGCACAAAAAAATTACCAATTCCACTTATCCACTCAATTAGAACAAACCAAAGAATATATCTTATATTAATAAAAACCAAAATATTTATTTAGTGAGTAACTTTCGTAATGTACATCCATATGTATGTACTTCTTCTTTTCGTCTAGCTATAGCTATGTAGGTTCCATACCTACTTTTTCAAGCCTTAAAATTCTTCTTCCTGTTTTTCCGTGGAAGGAAATTTCTCAGAAAAATAAATAGTCACCTGTCACTTCTATACAATCTCAGAGAGCACAAACTTGTGGTTCAAAGAAAATGTGTAGTTAATATAACGATAAACAAATAAAGAAGTAAGTTAAGTACGTTTCTAGAAAATTCTAGAAAGTAAATTATTTGTCAGTTTCAACATGAAAAGTCAATGCTGCAAGTATGAAAATAATATATTGAAATATGATTATAAACTCATAAAATACATGTTATGTATTTTGCGCTAAACATTGTAATTAATGTAGCAATCTCTTAACTAGTAATGATTATACCTACACCTTAATACATATAGAAAATTCTTGGCGACTAATTACGAACAAAAAATTAAGCAATAAAGTAAAAAATATTTTGAAACGGCTACATGAAACTAAAGGGATCTAGAATATATTTAAACCTCTTATGGTACAAAAGTCTATCAAATGACATATCAAGTTATACTGGTCAATGAAAAAAACAAGATTTTCACAGCACACACAAGAAATTGGACCCTCAGGCGATCTGTAATACAATTAATATTATGACTTACATAAGGAAAATCTGCTATAAAATGTACTGCTATTATGTTTCTGAAGTAGTAGGTATTATACTTGTATAAGCTTATTAGATCTGCAATTGTTGCCCATATCCGCAAATGAATTAATGAATTATGAATTAAGACTGTACGGATGGCGTAGTGGTTTAAGCAGTCGCCACGCCGCTTCCTACTACGCCGAGTGTTGTGGGTTCAAACCCCACATGGGACGACACTTTGTGTGATCTACAAATTGTTGTTCTGAGTCTGGGTGTTCTTTGTGTCCGTTTCATGTATGTTTGTAAAGTCCCCCGCGACACAGGATATTTTCCTAATGCGGAGTTGTCTTTAAAAAAATATTATAATACGCTACTTAATTTCATGTGATTGTAAAAAATATCTTCTTTGAAGCACTAGTAGTTAGTTACCGTGACTGCTAAGCCGGAGGTCGTGGGTTCGATTCCCAACCAGGTCAAATAATTGTGTGATGAGCACGATGATTTGTTCTGTGCCTGGCTGTAATTTATCTATAATATGTATTTATTTAGAAATATATAAGAATGTTTATCAGCAGTCTGGTACAGTACAGGCTCTGACTAGTTTGGGATCAAACGGCGGTGTGTGAGATGTGTGAAAATAGAAATATATTATATTATTATTTATATAAATCTCTTTATTATAGTTTCTCTAGAGTTAATGTGAGATTAAAATTTGTCAGTCAAACCCTCGGGACTAAGAACATCTTTTTTCCACGTAAGTTTTTCTGTTCACGTTGGACACCAAACTCATAGTATGGGTTCAAGAACTTGAGAACAAAGGGATTATAAATCTTTCTTAGCTTTATTATCTCTTCTTTGTACTTAAGTATTATTATTATTGTTTTCTCTTTATTCGCTTTTATTATAAACTGGCTGACCTCTCAGCTCTCTTAATAGGAATACATTTTTGTTCCATTTTTGTTCCTCCCATTAGTCCTAGCGTGGTGTTATTTGTTTCAATTTAAACTAGTAGTTTCTGAAATTAAAGAACCTAATTTTTTTTTAAGCTTTATCATATTAGTATCGATTTTTAAAATCGCTTTTTAAACCACAAAGATAAAATAAATAAATAAGTAAATAATAAATAAATAAATGTTTAAAAATATAAAATATAGATAGATACCCATACTATGACTGCATGGGACGACACTTTGTGTGATCCACAAATTGTTGTTCTGAGTCTGGGTGTTCTTTGTGTCCATTTCATGTATGTTTGTAAAGTCCCCCGCGACACAGGATATATTACTAATGCGGGAGTTGTCTTTAAAAAAAAAAAAAAAAATAGGGTTCCCATATTTATTTTATTTATTTATACATCATGCACTTTTGCACTTTTGACTTGATGCCTAAGGCATTCTCTATCAGTCAACCTTTGGGTGATGCAGAGAGAACCGGAAGTAGGTGCATTTTGGTTAAAGTTTGTTTGAGGTTATAATATCAAATACGCGTACATAAACTTATCATACACTAGAAGCCATACACATTATACATAAGTACATACATATATGTACTTAAATACATACAAACTTACATAAATACTATAAATAAATACAATATCAGGAACCCCTTACTACACGTACGGAGTAAAATAAAACTGCCTTTTACATCAGCCTCTTAATGTAGCCATCTAACATCTGAGGCTAATTATTATTATTACTGTAACGTTACATTTGCTTACTTTGAAAGCTTCAAAATAACATACGAAAGTTTCCATTTTTGGAAACGGTTGACATAATGTGAATTTTTCAAACAATTGATTATAAGTACGAAAGAATTTGGCAGCCGCAGCAGGCAAGATTAAAGTTAGTCGACCTAAATGCCGCCACCTGACTCACCTGCCAAGTCTAGCGTATAAAATATGTTTTTAATGGAAATTTTCATTTGGCCACCTAATATTTTTATGCCACTTTCATTTAGAGCGGTCAAGACTTTAGAAACTCGTTTAGCCAAGAGCCGAATGACGGCAGTTTAAAAGCAAAATCTTAAGTTGATGTCTTTTATGTCCTGTCTTAAAGCTTTTAGTAGGCAATTTTATGTGTTACGGTGGCAAACAGCATAATGGTTCATTAGATTGTTAGAAAACAACGCCTGCCCTATTGACGCTCTCAATGCTATACATATCATTTATATGGTGTCAATCCTATACAACCTTGTTTGTCTTTCGTGTGATAGTTAAAATAATTATGTTACACCGTAATCAGAAGCTTGCAAAAAATATTTAAAAAAGGACGTTCTTTGAACTTTTGAGCTTCTTGCCTGTTCTTCTCTCTACGTATTAAAACAGCAACTAGCTTAGTTTAACTGCCTTCAAATCCTGACGACACAAAAATAACTATGGTTTAACTGAAATAAATGATTTCGATTTTGAAACCCGTTCCTTTTAGTATTAAAATTGCGCGAGTGTGATTTATATATATGGAACTGAGTTTTATTTACTTCTGAAACTTTATTATATCGGTTATCGGTCTTACCTGCAAGGCTAGAGGTCATAGGTTTGATTCCCACTTAGGACAAATAACTTATGATGAATATGATCCTTTGGTTTATGTTTATGAAAAACTAGTCGTACCCTGCCACGTTTCGCCGTGGCTCATTGTGGTTACATTGATGAGAAATGGGGAACGAAACTGACGAGAAAAATAGATGAAAACAATCTTTGAAGTGGTTTGTATATAGTGTAAAAATTTGATCTCAATCGTTTTAGAACTTTTTAAGTTTTTGAAGCGTACACAAACCAACTTAATTTTTTTATATATG